TCAAACCACAGTCGACTACATGGGAGTCCAGCGACATAGCCATTACGCTAACAGCTGGTTCCCCTCTTTATATTTCTTAACATGACTGCTAGAAACTGTTAAATGATGTGTGTTACCTTGTTTTACTTCAACTGGACAGCACTGCCCTAGAGGCTTGATGATTAATTAAATAAATAAGAGCAACAAAAATATCCATCTAATTATCTTCCAAGTAATTAGAAGTGCCAGGCAGCAGTGTAGGTATTTTATGCACATTCTCTAGTTTAATCTTTGTAATGACTCCATGAGATGAGTATCATCATCATCACCATTTTATAGATGAGAAAACTGAGGCACCAAGTAGCAGAGTAGTTGAATAATTTGGCCAAAGAACAGAATCAGGCTTGGAATTCAGTTTACGTCCAAAGCACATGGTCTTATGTGCAAAGAGCTGCTTTACTCTTTTTTTTTTTTTTTTTTTTAAAACAGACAAACAAACATCTGTCTATCTATCTACCTACCTATTTGTTGTAATATTTGGGCTGCTGGATCTGGGACTTGAACTGAAGTTGGCCATGTGAGAATTCAAGCACCTCAACCATCATGATACCTGCAGGCAGCAATCGCTCTACTCTTTATGATAAAAGTAACTTTGGTTAAAAAAAAAAAAAAAAAAAAAGGAGCATGCAAATGAAAGTTCCCTATCTACTCCAGCTTACCACTAGGAAAAAAGAAGTCAAATCTCCAAAGGCAAACAAACTAGACATATCCGGACTTATTTATTGCCTGTTTGATAGCACCCGCAAGAAGCACTTAAATAAAATTCATGCTGTGAAAAATTATAGGCAGTGTCATATTTTAACCTATAGGAGGCAAACAGTTCTGGAAAGGGAGCTTTGGGATATTTGTCAGTGGGCAAAAAAACTGTCACTTGAGAACTACTCTTCTAGAATAAAACGAATCCTAATACACTGGACTCAAAGATGATCAGAGTCTCTGACTGATCGTGAACACCCGACAGGAAACAGTCTCCATGTGTCCTACTACTCTGACTTCCCTCACCAGTACAGAAAGCGTCACTTTCTTTTTTTTTTTTTTTTTTAACGGGGGCTGGGTGGTGGTGGCTTGAGGTGACAAGACCAGCATGATTCTTGTCTGTTACCTACAGAAGTTTACTGGAGCCATAGAAACCACACACGCTACTGGTCAGCCAGGCCAACATGTGATTTCAGTAGTAGTATTTTGATCTAGATTACCGTACGTGCCAGAGACAGAGTTCACTGTCTACAGGGCTGGTTTGAATGTCCAAACAGACTCATAAAAGAGAAAAGAGGAAAAATGAGTGTTTGCACTTATGTTCTTCAGAAGGCTTAAAAGAAAGCCTGTAAGTCAACAGTTTGTGCTAACCACTGCATTTTCTGGTGACTGTACTCTCTTTTTCGTTGCATGTAGGCACACGCAATGGATGACAGAGAAGAGAGGGGAGGAGAGACTCTAGAGAAGCAAAAGAACGAAGGATGAGGAGAATGTTTTCTTTCCAAAAGACACGAACACAGAATTCCTGACCACTTGGCTTTTCTGAACTGGCTGTTCGCCTTTCTGAAACGAACGTTCTGTGCTAACGTAAAAAGAATGTTGGCAGGGTCAGGGTAGGGAGGTCTGAAGTGATAATGCTTGGGTGGCTAATGCTTTCCTTTCCAGAGGGTGACACAGCTGTGACCTCTACAAAGCGAGCCAGCAAGGATCTAGTTTGGCCACATGAATGTGAGCTGTTTCCCTGCCTTGGGAGAGAGACAGGGACGTGTGAAGCAGTGCCTGACAAAAATAAAGTATTATCTAAAGACGGTTTGTAGTAAAGAAGCTTGAAAGCAAATACGATTCACTTATTTCTTTACTATTTCCTTGAAACACAATACCTACTGAGAAGTCATATATTGGGAGCAAAGAAAACCCTTCCATTTATTTCCTACATGGGTCGTGGAGAGTGGAAGAGTAAACAGATACTATTGAATAACTTTCTAAGAGCCACAGTTACCAGGGTTCAAAGCACTTCTACTTGACCAACACTTGACAAGACATCCAAGTCTCAAGCTCTGTCCTTTTTTGGACCCACTTAACATTAGGAACAGCCATAAAACCCACTGTGTGTTAAGGGTCCCTTTTTCTCCTGAGTAAATTGACTACCACCCTTTGCCTCTCCCTTCACATAGCATCCTACAAAACATGTGAGCAAACCTGAATTCCTTTTTTATTTTTTAAGTTTTTTTTCTTTTTTTAATTTCTTAAGTACAGAGAAAGAGAGAGAAGGGGGTCCCCTTGACAGGTATTCATGCTACAAATCTTCCCCTTGCCCTGAAGCTAGCCAGGATCATGGGTACATTGACATGTTCTGGATGACTCAGACAAAAATAGCTATCTGATAAAAAGAATTCCTTAAAAAAAAAATTAAAAACCTCCCCTCCAACCCTACAGATATAAATATTTGTACTTCAATTTTATTTTTTTGAATAAAACAATGTTGGCTTCATCATTAGGAAGAACACTCGTTTCATACTTGACTATCTCTGCAAGGCTGGCACATCTTGTTCAGACACTGAGTTTCTGGTCCTTCCTTTTTCGTCAGAGTGTAATTAAAGGGGGAAAAAAATCTCAAAGTAAAAAGACTGCCAACAGCAATAAGGCCAAAGAAATGTTGACCTTGGCCCTAACCACCTCACTTTGTTAGAGCAATAACGTGTCTCTCCTGTACTCCTCTAGTTCCTTCTGGGAACCTGTTCCATGTGCCCCAAGAAGGACAACAATGATGGTTCAGGATGCCATTGAGTACTCCTGATGACTTCTTAAAAAATGAACACATGGCCAAAGGCCAGCCAATTAGTAGTTGCCAAACTCCTACTCAGATCCATCTCCTTTAATACCTGACATAAGACCCAGACCACCGTCAGCTGGTAGCCAACCAAAGGTCAACTGATACTGAAACAACTGTACTAGGACATGGAACCAAGAGAAAACAAACTGGGAGAGGGCAGCAAAAAGAATTTGAGAATTGTTCTTAAAGCCACCTCAGAAACTTCAAGACGTAGGAGACCACATGGTTACTGAAAGACAGAGAAAAACAAATTCCTCACTTCTTAGTTATAGTCCTGGTTTTAATGTAGCTTAACTGTCTTCATCTCAGAATGTCTTTACTCTCATTTCTTTACAATACTCCTACTTGAGCTATCTCAGTGGGTTTCTGTTTCTTATCTCCAAAGAAAGACTTGACCAGAACATCATCCAATCCTCTTTACCTACTCCTCTTCTATAGCCCCTGACCTTAATAGCCCCTGTCCTTACTAGAAGAATCTTTGGGTTACCTCCCCGTAGCAACCAGGGTCATAACCTTGTGGCCTGTGCCTTCAGTGACACTAATGATATTACAATGTACTTCCCACATTCCTCCTTTTCTCTACAACATCCTTACCATTATATATCAAGCCGGCAGGAGTAGGAGTCATTTCTATGACAAGCCTCGATAAGAATCTTCCATTTTTAGACAGTTCTGGTTAATGGCTCCAATCCATTATCTTACAAAGCCTACCCATTGTTTCTGGTTCTATTTTCTAAAATCACACAGAAGAAATCTCTTTCTTTTTTTAATTGTCAGGGTATGTGCACTCACTAGAGAGAGAAAGAGAGGAGGAGGGAGAGAACATCTCTTCCAGTAGGGTGTGGTCACATCGCAATACCTTTTCTTTTACTCTCCACCCTATTGAGACTTTCAAGCCACCTGGGCCAGGACTTGAATTGAGGTTCATCATGTGAGATCTAGCTCCTGTAACTACTAGGCTACAAGGCAAGACCAAAACTCACTCATTTTTCTAGATCAGTACATATAGAAAAATTCTGAAAATTTTTTTAAAGAGGTTTTTGCCTTAGGGCATGTTTGCTTGCTGGAGAGAGAAAGAGACAGGGGCAGTGAGATAGAAAGTGAGAAATCACCCCAGGGTTGGTGGGGGAGGGGGTTGGCCATGCTGCAATCCCTTCTACTTCATTATCCTCCCAGGATCTTGGGCACGCACACACATGACAAGCATGAGTTTCAATCCACTGAGTCCAGGACTTGAACTGCGGTCAGCCATGTGGGAGTCCAGCAATGTAACTGCTACGCTATCTGTTGGCCCCCAAAATTCTGAATTCTTGACAAGTCTCTTCTGAGAATTCTGGTCCTCCATCCATTAGCTCTCATGAGACACTTTCGAGGCCCTTTACTTCCCTGTTAGTTTCCTTACCTCTGACATTGGTTAACTCCATCTCTATTTTACTAATTCCTACCCACAGGCACCTAAATTCTGCCTTCCTGTGAGATCCGCTCAGATCAGTCTCTGAAGGAAGCAGTGAAGAGGTCAGAAACATGGGTCTTAGAATCATTTATTCATTAATCATGAATCCTTGGGCAGTACCTAATCCATCCAGGCCACAACGTCCTATGTGTACCATGTTGGTGTCATACCATCTCTCAATGTTGTTTGCCATCGATTAAGTTAACAGACACAGTGAAGTACCCGGCACACAGGAAGATCTTAAACAATGGTAAGTATTATTTCCTTTTTTCATGCCCATAAATCTCTCTTTTCTGACCTGTAGGGAGGCTTAGTGGTCAGAACCCGAACTCTGGCATCCCATACTACAGCTTGGTTATCGCTCTGTGACCTTGGGCTACTTACTTACCCTCTGTGCTCCTTGGTTTCCTCTATAAAATGGAAGTTCAAACAGCACCTACCTCATAAGACTGTTTATGAAGATTAGATAGGTGAGCACACAGCTTAAAAGTATCTCTGGCATGAGAAATCATCATCAAGGATAGCTATTATTTCCTCACGATTGACTTCTAAAACAATGTGTAATTTCTTGCCTGCAATTCTCCTCAGCTAGCTAGTTCATTTGAAGCTGAGAAACAACATTCCGTATTTTACAATTCTTGATTTCAAATCATGTTTATTGGAAAGACAGAAGGAATGAATGAAGAGCAGAATATCTACCTGATGGTAAGAGATGGGCACTGGCCTCCGGAAGACTATCCACTCCACAATTTCGCTACATGGTGGGGTGGTCAAAGAACCTGTGTAGCGGTAATAGCTGCCCAGGGATGCGGGCAGGAGGTCCCGGAGGACGAACGGATCCAGAAAGGTCTCTTTCTCTGTTGGGGAAAGAGAGAAAACAAAAGCACAATGGTAAGTTGAACCTCACCTGGGCACACAGTCAAAACCTCAGCACGTGGTTGGTGCCACATCACAAGCTTGTTTGTTGATGCCCTGGGAAGCACTAGCATTGGTGGCAGGAGAGTCCCCCGGAAACAAAGCCACAAATCCCGGGGTATGTTCTGTGGATACCAGTAACCACACCAGATTTCACAAAACACAGGTTCCATGAGAATGACCTTTGTTAACATTGCGATCCCTCACCTTTCCCCCCAGGAAATAGACAAAACATTCCAGCACTGAAAAGTCTCTGAGAAGTCCTGTAGAAAAGAAATGTACTTGAATTTGTTTAACCCACCCTTTCACAATCTTTTTTCAGCATAAAACACTTTTCTAATATCAAGGAAGCAGAAATCAGTGAGACAAATTCTGGGACACAATGAGATGATCTTTATGAAAATAAAACTGTAAGCCAATGGGACAGTATAATTCTGAAACTGGATATGCTTGTTTATGATTTCACCGAACACCTATCAAATCTAAGTGAAATCTAACCGCTTAAATAGAAGAAATGATATTTAACCTGAGACCAGATCATGGGATACTATTTGATAACTCTGTGAGGAAAGGAAAGCATGGAATGGGTTAGTGGATCCATTCAAGGTCACACAGCTCCTAAGAAGGAAAATTGAGACATGACTCACCAGAGACTGCGCTGTTCTGACTCAGCTACGTAAGGAGGTGAAGTTAATTAGGTAAAAAATAATAACAACAACAATAATAACAATGAAGAGTGAGAGCAAAAACAGTGACCCAGAGCACGTTCGACAGTGGTTACAGCATGTACAAAGGCACGGAGGCATACGGGATGGTGCAACCGAGAAGATCAGAGGTTATGGCGCTATTTTAATCTCTCCAAAGCATGGTTAGAAGATCTTCCTTCATGAGTCAGAGAAGGCTCTAGTCTCCACATGTCTCTCCAGGTATTGAACACTAAATTTAAATCTGGAATTTTCTTCCCAATCCTGTTAGAGATGTACTAAGATCATTGGAGTCCTGTTTATGGTTTGCCTCTTGAGTGGCATCCACCGGAGATCCCAGAACACGACTGGGGACCTCAATGCTAGGTCACTTCTGACACACCTGTACCTACAGGAATATTCTTCCTGAGCCTTATACCTTCCTTCTCCCTTCTCTTGTATTTTTCATGCAGAACAACCAATGCAGGCATGTGGATAAATGTCTATCTCTAGACTTAGGATGTCTATTTAACTAGGGGATAATGCAAAAACCTCAGTAGAAATCAACTCTATTAGAATACTTAAAATTGGAATTTCTTTTTGGAAGGGATTAGTTGAACAAGACATTTATTTAGCTTTTACTGTATGTTAGACACTATTCTGAGAATCTGCACATCACACACAATTAAATAGCACTTACGGTATGTGGCAGGCCCTACTCTAACAGTTGTGTAATAATTATTTAATATTTAAAATAGCTCCATAAAGTTAACCCGACTGTTATCCCCAATTTATAGAGCTGAGATACTAAACCAGGTAACTGAGTTCAGAATCCAGGCTTCCATTTTTCACATCACTATGCTCTTTCACTTAATAACGCTATGAAATATGCGCTTTTAATACTCCAATTTTGCATAAAGAAATAAAGAAATGTTCTAGAAAGCTAGGCACAGAGAGGTTACATAACAAAGTCCAAGATTACTAGTGAATAGTGGAGTATCTGCACTTACTCATGAAGCTCAAAAACCTTGACTGATTCGCACAGAGCTCTTTAGTTCATTTGTTTTAAAGGAGAAATTAAGTATTAACTATTAAATGCAAATGGCTCCAAATCATAGGCTTCTAAAATTGATTTTACAAAACATGGCTTCTGTTGGGCAAAAGGCTGGAGTCATGAGGATGCCCTTCTGCCCACTGGCAAGTCTGGGTTTTAATTTAAACCTGGTAACCAGTAGCCTAGTGAAGAGGGAAATCGCTGCAAGCTTGCCTGGCTGCAACTGGTTTGGCTAGGAGGAAATAGTTTGGACTTTGCGTGCTGCCTCTGTGCTTCCTGGGCTGTGTAAACGGTCAACATAAAGCCTGGAGCAACAGAGGGCGTACGTATGGCCTGGCAACACCAACTGCAGGACTGCCACCGTCGTTTCTCCCTCGTGACGTAGGTGAACTCAGCTTCACAACGTGGCACAACAACCTGCCTTTGGATCAAGAGCTCCAGACTCAATGACCAGAGACTCTGAAGGGCTTTTCCCAAGGGGCTTGAACTACTGTGAGGGTTGCAGTTGAAACTGCCGTCTGCCTGCAAGCCTGCAGCAGCAAAGCCTCTTCCAAAGCACCCACTCTAGGAAAAAGCCATGGCTCTAAAGAGCATAAAAAGATAATGCGGAAACACCTGCCCCCCAAACAGGTGGAGACTAGATTTCAAAGGGGAATGTTGATTCAGCAGGTTCAGGACTTGTACATAAGTTCCTGTAGGACTTGTGAATCTGGCAGGGAGCGATGGAAACTGCACGTGTGACCTGGACTGCAAATGCAGGACTTCTTTGTCTTTGGCCACTTCAAGGGCTTCAGAGGTGGGTTCTGGCTTTCTTGAGTTAGAAGGTATAATCAGATAGAGGGCGGGCTGGGGATATCTGGTGAGCATGATGAAGGACGAGGGTCTGTCTTGGCAGATTTTTCATTCCACCACCATCACTGCCACTAAATCCTAGGATTCTGAGAGCTGGAATAGTTCAGTGGCTTTGGGAGCCAAAGAGTCATTTCTTCAAAGAGTATCTTACACGGAAGCCCAGCAACTCAAAAAAGTGAAAAGTGCAGCCCCTGAGGTTGAAACTCAGTTAGGGACCAGGAACATTTTGAAAACCACCAATTTAGTGTAATTCTTTACTTTTAAGACTAGGGAAATGGAAGACCAGGCTGAAGTAATAGACCCAAGGTCATAAACACGAGGAGAGGGATGGTTTGGTGGTGCAGTGGTAAGGGGCTGCTGAAATGATACTGGATCCACACGGACGATCAGGGTTCTTATGTTCCCTGCTGGACCTGCACACACAGGTTGCAGGCACCCATGCTCCTGGCTGCCTGGGAAGACTGAGAAATGGGTTCAAGGAGTGAGACTGTGTTGAAAGTGCTTTTTTTTTTTTTTTCTTTCCCTCTCATATAAAAGGAAGAAAGATATTTTTCTTTTGAAAACCAAACCAAACCAAACCAAACCCTGTGAGGAGACAGAGACTTAGACGAGATTCTTCTTTCAAGGAAAATACTGAGGATCTGGACTATATGGCTGGGGAACAGAAAATATCACTTATCACTGAAATCTAACCCCTGTCCTCATCAGCACCACATTTCTCTCTTCCTCTGGAGTTGGACAAGAGAGCAGAGGCCCACTCTGAATAGGGTTCAAATCCTACCTCCATCACCTGTGAACTGTGTGAGCTTGGGCAGCTGGTAGAAAGCAACCATGGATACCAGAGACAGTGTGTGAGGAGGGTGGGACATGGCAGAAGGTGAGAGAGAGGGAATCAAGAATGGAAAAAAAAAAAAAAAGCAAAATATACAGGAAACAAAAAATGGAAAATTATTTGTTGACGATAACACGTATGTCCATGTGCTTGACTGAGTCAATATACAGTGTATTCTGAATAGAAAATCTCATTTTGTATACTGTAATGATGTATAGTGAAGGAATGTAAATAAATAAATTTTTAAAAATTCAAAAAAAAGATTAAATAAGAAAGGAGTTTAGAAAGAACTAGTAACATAGCATTTACAACATATTAGTCTTATTTTAATTATTACTACTTGTGTGACCTTAGGCTAAGGTCTTAACCTCTCTGAGGTACTTCCATTATCTGTAAAAGGGAATGGTGAGAATAACTTGCCCCTCAGGGTTGCTTTGATAATTAAGTGAGCTAACAGACTGAGAACCAGCCCACGGTCAGCCCTGATCTATAAGGCAAACGCTGTCTGAGAGCAAGCCCGGGTGAGTTCCGGTCTGCCTCATTTTATATTTTAAACCAGAGATTAGCAAACGTTTTTCTGTAAAGCACCAGATAGTAAATATTTTAGGTTTTGTAGGCCAAGAGGCAAAATCAAAGATGTTAGGCAGGTACTTATGTATCAAATACCCTTCTGCAGCCTTATTAAGAGTATTCAAAAAGCTAATTATAACTGTGTACAGTTTTCAAAATATGTCTACTTAATGAGAAGAATACAATCCTTTTGGGGGGAATAGATTTCCCTTAATTAGGGATCAAATGTAAAATCCATTCTCAGCTCAGGGACCATGCAAAATAGGCAGTGAAATGGACTTGGCCCTCAAGCCTTGTTTTGCTCGTCTCTACATTAACAAGTATATGTGTGCATGTGTGTGGGGGGGGAGGGGGCCCCCTAAGTATTAGAAAGTCACCCTGATAGGCATAGCCTGATTTGTGGAGACGGGACCTGCTACATGTTCATGCGCTCCCATCACTAAATGATCATTTCTTTTGAGAGCAATACGTTACAGAATTAACTCTTGAGTTGATTCTTTCCCCCTTGGGTTTTTGAGTTCAAATTGCACATCAGTTTACACTGATCTTCCTGAAAATTCCATTACCTGCTCAGTCCCATAGGCGATACTCAACAGACAAATGGGGTGCTCGGAATGCTTAATCATAAATTAGAAACGATTTTAGAAATGGGAGCCCTGTGTTTCTAATACTATCTAAGATGCCTGCTTAAACCATAGGTGCTTGATTGGCTGGACCTGGGACTGGGAGTTTCTGAGTACAGTTAGTGGGAAGAAGGTACTTTTTAGATGAAAATTTACCCTTTTCCATTAAAAAAATAACTCTTAATAAATGCAGATATGGGCTGAGAATCCCTTATCTGCTTAGGATGAGAAATATTTTGGATTTTGAAAGTTTTTTTTTTAATATTTGGATATATATGATGAGATATCTTGGGAGGAGGACCCAACTCTAAACATTAAATTCATTTAT